ACTTATTGAAATCAGATTTCAAATCCTATTAACAAAACAATTTATATAGAAAGATGTCTGTCATGAGGTCAAAATATACAATTCCAAGGTGTCTCTGATTTAGAGGGGTCTCAAACTGGAGGGTGCACTGTACTTGAATTGATTAATTTGTATGTTTAAGTAAGTTAATAATTTACAATAAAAGTTTAAATGAAAAAAAAAACGTATTCCAAATCAATTAATGGAAATGGAAAGGGAATTAGTAAATTTCCTGTAATCTTTAGCATAGAGCATTAATTTTGGCTGGTAATTCAAGAATTTTTGTAATGAAATCTCTGTAAAGCACCAAACCATCTGTCTCTGGTTTAAAGTTAATAACTTATTTGACACTTTCAAATGAGCTTTTTTGGCAATACATCTTTGTAAAGCTGTCAACAAAATCCATGCTATATTCCATTTTTCTATTTTTCTCCAACCCTTCCCTCTCAATCACCTCAATTTAGCGCCCTCCTCTTAATTCATCTCCAGGGACCACAAATCTCCCACAAGTCGCGGTAGTCTCTTGGAAATCAGGACGCCACACTCCCGCAACCAAGAAAGAAAGTCACGGAAACTACTCATTTCCAGCAAAATTATTATGTCTGCATGTTTTAATTACTTTATTACCACCTTTCTTATCAATTGTCTCATGGAAATCAGTGTTGATGCGTATTGTATTATCACCATATCAGAAAGTTAACTAGATCTCCCGGAAGGACTTCTAACTTGGGACTCCTGTTATCCCATTTTGCTACTTTTCGCCTAGCCCCTCCCTCACATATCTCTCCTTTTGCTACACCCTTCCTATCACTATGTAACATATCTACCTTTGCTTCATTACACTCTTCCCGTTCTTTCACATATTCCCCCTTTTTGTTCCTGAATGAGACAACTATATAAAACTATACAGTTGTGTCAGGTTCATGAAAATTTCCTTTAGATACACTGTTGCTTTATGAGCATCCTTCATTTTGCTTTATTGAATAAAAAATAAAGTAATGAATGAGGTCACAATTATGCCCTCATTCAAAAACAACACATCCATAAAGGGAGTCATATAACAGCCTAGCAAAGTCAGATTCTGCTGCTTTACCAGACCTCTAAGAATCAGGCTAACTAGCCCCTTTCCTCAATATTTATTGGGTTTTCAATTCCAGACTCCCAATGGAAACAAAATGTTCACTCAATGTGAGACTCCACTAATACTCTCACATTTGTTTAGCACCTAACAATCTTCAATCTGCCTTTAGTTAAAATTTACCCTTTAAATAGACACCGAACACAGAGACTACACCAAACTTTCAAGTCCCAAATGTGGTCTGTATTACACCTTAATTTATTTTAGGTAGAAGTATTATAAAGATTCTATTTCAAAAAATTAAGGAATGGAAAAAATGGTCCACAAAATCATTAGCAAAGGATGCACTAACTGTCTTGTTTGTTGGCAGTTAATGTCATACTCAACAAGACACTCATTTCCCAATTAAAAACAGATTCTGTTTGCGGAAGAAGACATCAGGCAAATTGGATGATGTCTGCAGCAACTGAATCAAATAGATTGCTTCCTCATCACCATGGAGATGAGGATTTACGCTAATCCTACTCAAATCAATGGCACCATATGCTATGTTAGTACTGCAAAGTCTACAATATTCTGTGTCTTACAATTACGATAATAAATAATTTAAATTTATTAAATTTAATAGGTGGTTACTAATAATGAACTATATAGGATAGAAATATAGACCTAATGTTGAGGATTTTGGGGTGAGGGGTCACTGAGATTTAGAAAGGGAAAATGTTCCAAGTGCTAATTTATCATGAGAATTAAGGGGCGGAATAGTTTTCAGTAATGAGGGTCCATTGTGAGGAATAGGAAAAAATGTTATAGTGACGGAGGGATTATGTTTGGGAAGGAGTTGTTTTTAGGATTTACTGATGTGCCATTATGTGAATTCAGGACAGATGTCATCATTTGTGATGATATAGTATGTCAAGACATTTTGAGAGTAGGTTTCAGAGGTAAGGTATTATGATGGCTTATGAACTAAGTAGTTATTTCAAGTTTAGTGCTTTCTGTCAAATGCAAGAAAAAGTAGAATTATTTAGCGGGGAAAGATCATTTGAAGCATAGAAAGGGTAATTGTGTTTAGGTGTCAATGAATCTTTGGTAGAATTATTTTTTTGGGTGACACATAATGAAGGAAGGGTTAGGATTCATCTAGGTTTAGGAGAGGAAATTACAGTTATTGGCATGGTAGGCTTATCATCAGACTTCAGGGAGCTCAGACTTCAATAGTCCAATCCCGTACTATATCCGATTACTCAATAATTCATAAACAGCAATGTTACCCTTGATGATTTGAGTGTGCCACCCTCCTTGCCGATTGGTACCAAATTTTCGGTCCAAATAATAATAATAATAATAATAATAATAATTATTATTATTATTATAATTATAAAATAATAATTTTTTTTCTATATATATATATTTATTTTTTATTTTTTATTTATTTATTTTTTTTTTATATGTATTTCTTGTATTTTCTTTTTTTAATATTTTAATGTTTTTGCCACTTTCTTGCCCATAACTTTTGTAATATTACAAGCAATTTGGCCCATTGGGCCA